CAAAACTATGAAACTATGAGAAGAAAACTAAGAGACATGCTTGGTCATTGGTCAGCGCAGAGAATTTATGGCAAAGACCTCAAAAGCACAGGCAACAAAAATGAAACTGGACAAATGGGATTATATCAAACTGAAAAGTTTCTGCACAGCAATGGAAACAATCAACAGAGTAGAGACACCTACAGAATGGGAGAAAAGATTCACCATTATTTATCTAACAAGAAGTTAATATCCAGAATATATAAGGAACTTAAACTTCTTAATAGCAATAATAATAATAAAATAAATCATTCAATTAAATGAGCTGAATAGACATATCTCAAAAGAAGGCATGCTAATGACCAACACTGAAAAATATGTTTAACAACACTAATCATCAGAGAAATGCAAATCAAAACATAATGAGATGTCATCTTACCTAGTTAGAATGCCTATCATAAAGAAGATTTTTAAAAATGCTAGAAAGATTGTAGAGAGAAGGGGAACTCTTATACACTGTTGGTGAGAATGTGAATTGGTACAGCTGTTGTGGTCTGAGTAAGCACTCGGCTGCTAACCCTAGGTGCCAATAAATCGAGAGGCAGGAAGACTGGTAGAAAGAAGTTCACTTCTGAGTTCTAATCCAGGGAGCAGAGCCGGACTCGAGGCCTTTCTAGAATGGTTCTGATCACCCTTCAAGTTTTTCAGTCTGCTTTTATAAGTTCAGGGTTGTTGGTACTTATACACTGACTGGTTCCATATCACAGCCATTATGGAAAACAGTATGGAGAGTCCTCAAAAAACCAAAAATAGAATTACCGTATAATTATATAGAGCATTGTATAGAGCCTAAGTTACAACCGCAGTTTGTCAATAATAACATTTTATGGTTCACGTTTCCTGGTGCCAGTTTGGTTTACATCTCCTGGCACCAGTTACCAGAGGTATCTCACAGTTTTTTATCAGTAACACCCGGCAGAAGCGTTAATCAAAGGGAGTTAACAGGGCCTAAGATGTCATACAGTGTTACATGTTGTGATATGCAAAATTATGCAAATCACAAGACTTATGATTACAGTGATGCAAAAGTTATGTAATTACCTTGATACAAAAGTTGTACAAATCACAAGACTTATGATTACCTTGATGCTACATTACTCAAACTTATGATTACTCATAAAAGGGAGTAAATGGGAATTTATTTCTCTCAGTTAATTGGGCACAGTCTGCAGCAAAGCTAAGGATTCTTTGAACTTATGTACTGGGCGTGCCTAGGAGACAAGGGAAGCACACCTTTTGCGAGCTCCCAGGATACGTTTGGGCTGTTCAGCCCCTCGTTATGCCCTTCTCTAGAGGCTCTGGTAAGCTGGACAGACAGGAGCGGGTCTCCATACCACTGCCGTGATGGAAAACAGTATGGAGGGTCCTCAGAAAACTAAAAAATAGAATTACCGCATAATCCAGAAATTCTACTACTGAGTAGAATTCAGAGGAAAAGAAATCAGTATGTCAAAGAGAGAGCCGTACCCCCCATGCTTGTTGTTGTAGCCGAGAAATGGAGTCAACCTAAGTGCCCGTCAATGAATGAATGAATGGATAAAGAAAATGAATATATACGTAACTGAATACTATTTAGACATAAAAAAGAACAAATTCTGTCATTTGTGGCAACATGGATGAACTTGGAGGACATAATAGCACCACAGGGTGACTATAATGAACTATGTGTTATATATTTTTAAATAGCGAGCAGAGTGGATTTGGAGTGTTCCCAACACACAAAAGAGAATGTGTTTGGAGTGATGGATATGCCAATTAGCCTGAATTGATAATTACAGTTGTGTGTTTGTGTATGTATGTGTGTGTGTGTGTGTGTGTGTGGACATATATATATCTCACACTGTACTCCATAAATGTGTGAAATTATATCAATTAAAAATAGTTTAAAAAATAAAAATAAAGACCAAAAGAGGTGTATTGTTTTAACTTATAAATACTTGTTTTTCCCTAGAGATGTTATTGCTATTGATTTCTATTTTAATTCCACTGAAATCTGAGAAAATATTTCTGTATAATTTTAGTTATCTAAAAATCTATTGAGACTTGCTTTTGGGGCCCAATATGTGGCCTATTTAGGTGAACGTGCCATGTATTCTTGGAAATAATATATATTCTGAGGTTCTTGGATAAAAACTTCTAGAAAGTTCTTGGAAATAATATATATTCTGAAATTCCTGGATATAAAGTTCATTAAGTCAGAGTAGCTGATAGCTAAATTTAATTTTTATTTGCAACAGTAGATATTTATTATAAGGACACTCAGGAACATGAAGTAGGAGGTGACATTTTCTCAACATCTTTATGCTCTCTGAATTTTCATCCTTAAACTCTAGGACGCACCTTGGGCTTCAAAACTCAGCAGAAAATTTATTGACATTCCAGGAGAATGGCAAATTCAACAGAGGCTCTATCCTTATTTTATTTGCTTTATGTAAATAACCCCAACAACATAATGCACTATAATTTTTTAAAATTACAAATTTAATCGCTCTCAATTTTCACAAGTCTTAACCCAAATACAGAAGTGGGAGGTAACTGTCCAGACATAGACTCTTTTCCCCTCCCTCAGGGAGCAGGCTCTGGCCAAGGCAGGATATGCATATTCGCAGTAATGATTCCCTGGATGTGGATGAAGCAGTGAGGGCAGAAGCCTTACTCACTAGTTGTAAACACCTTATGGCAATTTGAGCAATTAACTTGCTTGATTATAAAACTGCTTGCTGTCATGCCCTGAGGTGTGGATTCTTTCTCCACTGACTGGCAGCCATCAGCTCCTCTTGTAAATTCTAATAAACCAGTGCCTGTCCCTGTTGGACCTCCAGCTCATTTCTTTGGGATAATGAACATTATGCACAAGCCCTCTCAGGTTTGGAGTTACCACGTTACAAGAAGTGTGCAATTAGCATGTTCCCCTATCCTACACTCTAAAAACAATTGTTGTTCTACTCCTAAGAGTTCTAGTGTGTATTTGTTCGATATTTATACCTAGCATTTTTATTTTTACTTTTGGTTGGTTGGTTTTAACATGACTAAATGTATAAGCAGTGCTTTTATTGATACATTATAGAAAAGTCAGAGTTCTTTTTAAATGCAGACAATCTAGACTGCTTCACTTAAAAACAAATTTTGGCCAGGCCCAGTGAGTGGCTCATGCCTGTAATCCCAGCACTTTAGGAGGTTGAGGTGGGAGGATCTCTTGAATCCAGGAGTTCGAGACCTCATCTCTACAAAAAATACAAACATTAGCTGGGTGTGGTGGTACACACCTGTAGTCCCAGCTACTTGGGAGGCTGAGGCAGGAGAACAACTTGATCCAAGAGTTTGAGGCGACACTGAACCTATTGATTGTGCCACTGCACTCCAGTCCAGGTAACATTGAGACATTGACTCAAACAAAACCAAACCAAAAAACAGAAATTTTGACCTGCTGAGAAAAGACTAAACATTGGGGAGGGAGGCACATTACCTGGAACATTCTATTTTACCTGCCAGTAGTGATCCATATCAGCTTCCCAGTTCAGGTAAGATGTGTCTATCCATTTGCTATTTTGCTCCTCTTTTGAATATAAAGAGTAAAATCCTTGAAAGGTGAGAAGTAAAGTGATAGGTGTAAGGAAGCTACAACCCCCACTCACTCCTCCCCACTCCTTCCGCAATGTATTGTTTCCGCCGCCAACATCTGCTTTCCCAAGGAGTGCATCTTTTTTTTTTTTTTTGAGTTGGAGTCTCACTCTGTCACCCAGACTGGAGGGCAGTGGCCGCTCCCGGCCACCGCAGCCTCGACCTGCTGGGCTCCGGCGATCCTTCCGCCTCAGCCTTCCAAGTAGCCGGAATTACAGGCATGCGCTACCACGCCTGACTGATTTTTTGATTTATTGTGGAGATGAAGTCTCGCTGCCCAGGCGGGTCTCGAACCCGCGGGCTCAGGCAATCCACTCACCTCAGCCTCCCAAAGGCGCGGGATTATAGGCTGAGCCACCGAGCCCGGCATCTTAAGGCTCTGTAATCGCCAGCCCCAGACTGCATCTTCAAGGTTACATGACCACCAGCCCCAGCCTGCGTCCTCAAGGTCACATCTCGGGACTATGTGGCCATGAACACCTGCTTCCTCAGGACTACCTGGGCGACGTGACCACCAGACCCCAACTAGGGGGTATAAGAGGGACACGCCAAAAGAACAGGCTGCTTGTTCTTTGTTCGCGCCAGTCATCCTTTCCTTTCCCTCTAATCAATTAAATTTTCTTTGCCCTTTCTCAGCTCGTTCTCTTTTTCTCCACACTTGCCTTACAGTAGGTATGTTGCGGGAAAACAGAGAGGCCGTGACACCAAGGCTATCTTAGGAAGTGGTGGTTTATTAGCACCAGCACGACTCAGTGGGCTGATGCTCCAAGGCTGAGCAACCCAGAGAGCGAGGAGAGAGGTTTTATCTGTTAGTTTAGGTAACGGAGGGGGTCAGGTTGTATGGCTATACATTTTTCTTCAGAATTTGCAAGGTTGTACTTAGCAAAACCAGATTTTCAAAGAACAAATGGTCTCCAGGATATGAATAACAAGCAGGGGTTGTAAACCCATAACTTCACAAAGAGAGGATTTGGGGTAAGGTTGCATTTCCAGGAAAGCGCCTTGTGGCTATTCAGTTTTCTCAAGCCTCATGTCTATCAGGTTTGGAGCCTGCAGGTCGATCTTTAAAAAGGAATAATTTTAACTGTTTTTAGCCCCTCTCTGCCACAGGTACTTTAGGTAGTGCATGCTGCTCAAGTAGAAGAGACAAATCTGTATAATTCAAATTTTGACCTGTGGATGGTATGCATCTGTAAAATGAGAGTTAAGTTTAAGGGCCTGGAGCAAAACAATTGGATCACACTGGGTTTGATCTTATATCCCTTTGTGCTTTACACTACAGAGTTAACAAACCACTAAATGAAGATTTTGAAATAATGTACTTTTTTTCCTCACTACAGGATGCCGAATGTGCATATTTTGATGATCCTGAACTTCTTTCATTGAGAACCACATTAATTCTCCACCTTCAACACCATACGAGCGTGGATGTCCAAACAGAGTTCTCTGGATGCTTATCGCTAGATTGGAAATTATTCTTGGAAGAGCATTACCCGTATTTTCTAATCGTTTCTGAGGAAGGCCTGGATGATTTGCAGACGTGCCTTTTTAACATCTTAATCATACATTCCTGGAAAATGGGAGTCAATGTTGTCCTTTCATCAGGACAAGAATCCGATACTCTCAGACTTTATGCACATATTCTGGAAAGCACATACAGATGCAGAACTTTTTCTAAGGAGGTAATTTGCATTAATAATTTTCTTTTTTTTTAAACCTGACTTTTAATTTTAATTCTCAAGATGACTTAATATTCTTTCCATCTTTTTAATGGAACTTAGTATAGATAGTCTCAGAAGATGCAATAAATATAGTGTGAGCCACAATAATGATAATTATTCAGCACTTATGCTGGTTTCTTTCCCTAGATTATCTCCTTTATTTCTCAGAATAATCCCATGAAGTATGCAGCGTTATTATATCTATTTATCTGTTCATATCTAATTATAGTTTTATCACCTTATCATTCAAAGGATACCTGAGTATTGAAATAATTTGCCCAGGCTAAGTACCTAATTGTGGTATAATAAGAACTATATTTGAACTTTGCTCTACAGAGCTCCTAAAACCCTTGGAATTTCTTGAGTCATAAGAGTGTCTTTGGTTATTTTGACCGCGTCCAAGTTTATGCCGATGAGATGACTCAGCCTGGGGCCCCTCACCTCAGGGTTGGCTGGTCATCAGAAAGACCCAGTAATCAGTGGTTGGATGTTTCAGCCCCAACTGCTAACCTCTGGGAAAGAAGGATGGGGATAGAGATTAAGCTGTGTGAAAACTAACAATGTTTGATGAACTCCCAGGTAGGTGAACACAACCTCCCAGGTTGAGGTCCTGGGAGGGGTGATGCACTCAAGGAGCTATAGCCTCCTGTGTTCTTATGCCCAGTGCACAGAAAAGTCGATAAACAGAGACAGCAGTCATTGCAGTTTAATCATCACTCAGCTGCTTTCTGAAAGAGTTTAATCATCAGAAGGCAGCTGAGTGGGAGGACAGGAGAGACTACTCAAATTCAGCCACCCAAGAATCCAGAGGCTAGGGTTTTTAAGGGTAATTTGGTGGGTTGGAGGCAAGGGGCTTGGGACCGTTGATTGGTTGGGGATGAAATCATGGAGGCGTCCACACTGTCTTCACGCTTGGAGTCCAGTTTCTGGGTGGGGTTCGTGGATCCCTGGTCCAGCTGGCTTTGATACTTCACCAGAATGCAGAGTCTAATAAGGATCTCAAACACGGGTCTTAGGTTTCCCAATAGTGATGTTATCTTGTAGGAGCCACTGGGGACATTCCAAGGCTTGTGACCATTGGTGACTTCTGAACAAAAAGCAACTGGGGGAGCAGGCTGGGACAACAATGGCTGGTCCGGAAGGCCCTGCATGAAAAATATGTTTACCAATCTTGCAGGCAGCACTAAGGACTAGGATAGCATGGGGCGGGGGGGGAGAAATGGGCAAAGAGAAAAGAAGTATAACAAAATCTGGGCCCCCATTGCAATTCCAACCTGTGGACTTTTGCTAATTTTACGGAGCGGTTTGAACACAGGCGCTCACACCCCTTTCGCATACCTCGTGCTGTGTGACTCTTCCATGCGGCTGATCCTACATTGTGTCCTTTATAATAAACCAGTGGTAAAGAGTGGCTGTTTTCCTGAGTTCTGTGAGCCATTCTAGCAAATTATCAAACCTGAGGAGGGAGCTCCATCTTTTAAATGAACCTTAGTATAGGTAGTCTCAGAGGAGGTTATCAGTTTAAGGAGGGTCAGTCAGAAATATTGGAGGCGTGGAGCTTGTGGCTGGTGCCTAAAATGGGGAGAATCTTGTTAGACTGAGCCCTTGTCCTGTGGGGTCTCTGCTAACTGAAGGTAGTTAGTATCAGAAGTGGATTAAGTTGTATGACACCTAGTGGGTGAGAAAATCAGAACTGTTGGTGTGGAAAACCCACACACTTTTTTTTTTTTTGAGTCAGACTCTCACTCTGTGGCCCAGGTTGGAGTGCAGTGGCACACTCCTGGCTACCCCAGTGTCAACCCACTGGGCTCAGGCGATCCTTCCACCTCAGCCTTCCAAGTAGCCGCAACTATGGACGCATGCCACCACGTCTGGCTAATTTTTTAAATTTATTGTAGAGACGAGGCCTTGCCAAGTTGCCCAGTCTGGTCTCGAACCCATGGGCTCAGCCAATCCACTCGCCTCGGCCTCCCAAAGTGCTGGGATGGCAGGCTGAGCCACCGAGCCTGGCCAACCCACACATTTTTAGTCAAAGCAAACTAAAAATGGGGAGAGAAATGGTTTTCCTGTGCTCATAACGGGTTGACAATGAGTTTCAACAAAGAAGTGTGACTCTAGCCCCTGCATATTTAGCCACTGGTGTGGCAGCATCCTTTACAGAGAGATGAGACATCAAGGCTTTTTTTGCCAGGAAGCAGCATTTACGTGTGTCGGCATTGGCCCAGCGGATTCACATCCCAAGGCTGAGCCTGGAACACAGCAGGGCATTGCCCTATATTACATTGTAGCCACTTTGTCTCCCTTCTATGGCAACCTGCATTTTTGACTAGGTATTTTATGGCACAGGGTTGGAACCCGGCTACTCAGGCATACTTAGACATTGACTACGTCATGTCACTTTTTCTCTAACACATTCTTTTTCTATTCTGGGAAGGCCTTTATCTCTTTGTTTTAGAAGGGCCCCATCAGCCCGTCTCACTGGGGCATCCTGCATCCCAGGTAATGGAAACCAAGAAATGCATTTGACTTGAAACCCATGTGTTCATGTGTTTAATATAGGCAGTGAAATGATGGACAACGTGGAGAGCTTTCGATAAGAAAGACACAAAAGTTGATGAGGAAGGAAGCAAAGCTATCATTTCTTTTATTAACATTAAGTCATGAAGTCAGTCAAAGTTTCAAGAATTTTAGTTCCATAGTATGCTCATTATTTTGGTATATTTGGTATAGGTTTATGCAACCTTTACTGTTTGAAACTTGGGAGTCAAAACTGTATTATTGGTCTTATGAATGAATCTACTTTTTCACATTTAAAAATAAATTTTGATTATGCAGGTCATTTGGTAGCTTATGAAAAAATCCCTTCATCCTAATTCATATTTTTACTAATTATAGCAAAACTCTGCCCTTTGGAACTGTGACCCCCACGTTATTTTGGGCTTGTTTGAGAATTGGATTTTTTTTTTTTTTTTTTTTTTGAGTCAGAGTCTTATTCTGTGGCCCAGACTGGAGTGCAGTGGCATGATCACAGCTCACTGCAGCCTTGACCTCCTGGGTTCAGGCAATCCTCTGTCTCATCGTCCTGAGTAGCTGGAGCTACAAGTGTGCATCACCACGCCAGGCTAAATGTGTGACTTTTTGTAGAGACAAGGTCTCACTGTGTTGCCTAGGCTTGTCTCAAACTCTTGGGCTCAAGCAATCCTCCTGCCTCAGCCTCTCAAAGTGCTGAGGTGACAGGCATGAGCCACTGTGCCCGGCCAAAAATTGCCTTTTAAATGTACAATATGGCAACAAAAACCAGCGAAAATTTATTGTGTTTTGAGAAGCATCTTTCATGATAATTGGAGACATATTGATGTTTGTCGTGCTTTTAAAAATTTTTAATTTTAGTTAATTAATTTATTTGAATAGAGGCAGGTTCTGGTTCTGTTATGGTCTGAGTAAACAGTCGGCTGCTATCTCTCGATGCCAATACATTGAGAGGCAGGGAACTGGCAGAAAGAAGTTTATTTCTGAATTTGAAATTCTGGGAGACAGAACCTGACTCCTGGCATTTCTGGATTTAGGTTTCACTTTATAAATTTCGGATTGCTGGTACCTATACATGACTGACAGAGCATTGTATAGAACTCAAGTCACAGCCCTATTTTGTCAATAGCATTTATGGTCCACCTGTCCTGGCGCCAGTTGCCAGGGGTAGTTCACAGTTTTTCTTATCAGTAACACCAAACAGAAGAGTTGATCCAGCTTGCCATAGAGTTAGAGAGTTAATAGAGCCTATTACAAAGTAAAACATTATTCATGGGCAACCCGTTGGGTTCCCTCCCACCGTGGGAGCTTTTCTGTCCTCTCAATAAATCCTGCTTTCCAAAAGAAAAAATTATTCACTACAACATATTGTTAATTAGTAGCTGTAACACACAAAAAGTTATACAAATTACAAGACTTATGGTATATTTTTCAAATCATCACTACTGATAAAAGGAATAAGGACTCATTTCACTCAGTTGAATGAGTTAAGGATTCCTTAAAGTGACTTACAGGGAATGTATAGGAGATGAGGGAAAACACTTTTCTTTAAGGGCTGTGGCAATATGGACAGACAGTCGTGGGTTTCTGTATCAGTTCTGTTACCCAGGCTGGAGTGCAGTGGCATGCTCTTGACCCACTGCAGGATGTAACTATAGGGCTTAAGCAAACCTCCCACCTTAGCCTTCTGAGTAGCTGGAACTAGAGGTGCCACCACCATGCCACACAAAAAATTCAATTTTGGGTACAGACAGGGTCCCCATATATTTGCTCAGGCTAGTCTCGACCTCTTGGCCTCAAGCGATCTTCTCACCTCTGCCTCCCAAAGCACTGGGATTGCAGGTGTGAGCCACCATGACTGGCCTTATCATGTGTCCACTGAAGAAGGAGAAGGTCTATGCATTCGAAGAGGAGACTTTCATTTCTCAAAAAGGGCTGCAGGCTGCAGGTGGCCATTCCCACAGAGTGGGAAGCAGGACCCAGAGCTGAAGTTGAGCACATGTACTTCCAGGGATGGGTGAAGGGAACAGAAATGCATGCCAGTGGGAGGGTGGCCAAATATACCTATTCAGCAAGCTATAGGAGGACTCCTGAATACTTAAGAGAGGAGAAACATGCACACGCCCAATTGAGTTTCACACCTCTTCATAGGTCCCTTGGCTGCATTAACATGACATGAGGGTAGAGTCTTGGGCCTCTGATGTCAAAAGGTGAAGCAGAGGCCACTAAGGCCTCACAGTGGATCCTCCTAGCCTGGCCAGAACCATTGCGTGGCTGGTGGTCTCTTATCAGGCCAAAAAGGAGACGCAGTAAGCAGTGGCAGGTTGACATCAGTGTGGAGTCTTTTGAAACAGCTGGTTTTTGTTCTGCCCTCGGGGAGGAAAGCCTAGTGATTATAGAGGGGGTGGGTGTGGCCAGCAGTTTCCCACCTCCCACCCCAATGAGGCAGGAACTCAGTTTTTAACATTCCCTTGGCCAAGAGATGGTCCATTCCATCAGTTGAGGGACTAATACTTTTATTTTAGTTTTCCTATGCTTTTAGATTGGGTATTTGCATTCGTTTTCTTTTATTATTATTATTTATTCATTTATTTATTTTTTGAGTCGAAGTCTCACTCTGTTCCCCAGGCTGGAGTGTAGTGGCACCATTATAGCCATTGCAGCCTCAACTTGCTGGGTTCAGGCGAGCCTTCCGCCTCAGCCTTCCAAGTAGCTGGGACGACAGGCATGCACCATCACCCCCGGCTAATTTATTTGATTTATTGTAGACAGGAGGTTTTTCCATGTTGCCCAGGAACTCCTGGGCACAAGCTATACTCTCACCTCGGCCTCCCAAAGTGCTGAGATTACAGGCATGAGCCACTGTATCTGACTTTTTTTTATTTTATTATTAAAATATTTTCCAGATTTTTCTTTCTTTTAAAGAACTTTAGAATTTATTTTCATATTGGGAAGAGGTACTTCCACCTGTAAAACTCTATTTTTGCTAGAGAGAGACTAGACTGACTCTTAGAAATACAATACTGTTTGGGCTTTTGTTAAAAATAACCTTTTTAAAGAAACTGATGGTTTCATTATGTAAAATTGTTTTCTAATTCATTGTCTGTGGCCATTTCCCTAAAATATGCTATTTTATTCATCCTCTTTGGACTGTTTAAATGAGTCTCTTAATAAATATTGCAGTTGTTTTATAAGTTGGTAATTGTTAAGACTGGTGACAGGTACGTGGTTGGGCTTAGACTATTTTCTCTAATTTTTTGTATTTTTGAAAGCTTCCTAAATACCCAATTTATTATAGTGTAATGTTATTTGGCAGAGGAAATAATGCATGTTTATCAGAGCTTAAGAAAAATTGTCCTAAGGACAAATGAGAGTGATTTTACTTAGTGTACATTGTAACATATGTAGAATTCAAGTATCTCATTCTCTTATAGCTAGGAAACATAGATACTTTACTTAGGATATTTCATATGGTTTTCTTCCTTTTACAGAACTCAACAATGATTCAGAGTTCATATACAAGCCTCATAAAACACTTGGAAGAAAGCAGAATTTCAGCACTAACACCTCACTTTGCAAATTTAAAATGGAATGATATGATGGAAGAGGTACTTTTATTTCCTTAATTAAAGGGTGTCACATAGGTCCTTAACATGTGTATATGATCTGAATCTCAGAATGCCATGGTCTTACTGTGCCTTACATTGATTGCATGATGTATGTAATTATTGTTCATTTCTGGGAGTTATGTTTTAAGACAGACTCTGGCAAACTAGAAATTTGTAGTAGCTAATGCAACAGTAATCTGTTTCTTTGTTTCATAAACTCCAATTGAGGAGAGCTCTAAGATGTCATCTGCCATACAAAAAAGTCAAAATGAGAATTTAATTATAACTGAAATCTAAATTTCTAAATATCTCCTCAAACAATGCTTTATATTACTGTTTATTATGATGGATTTCTAGAGTACTTCTTTTTTTTTTCTTTCTGATTCTGAAATGGTAAAAAGTGATGGCATAAGAAATTTTGGAAAATACTGAAAAGTAATAAGAATATTTATAATTCCACTCCTTGGAATTTTCCCAGCATCTTAATATATATTTGTATGTAGTTGAGGGCATACTGTAATACATTTTTAATATCTCATCATGGTTATTGTATATTTTCTTGTCATTAAGGATGTTTTTATACATGTAATATTGATTTAATTATTTACTCATTTTTTAATAGACAGAGTCTTGCTCTGTCACCCAGGCAGGAGTACAGTGGTATGATTGTAGCTCACTGCAGCCTCAACCTCCTGGGCTCAAGCCATCTCCCTGCTTCAGCCTGTAGCTGGGACTATGGGCACACACCACCACATCCAGCTAACTTAAACCAAATTTTTTTTTTGCAATGACAGAGTCTCACTATATTGCCCAGACTGGTCTCAAACTTCTGGCCTCAGACAATTCTCCCACCTCCCAGAGTGCTGGGATTACTGGCATGGACCACCACACCCGGCCTAAATGCAATGTTTAATGAGTTCATTATATTTTATTAATGCTAAACATTTAAATCACTTCAAAATTTTATCTGTTATAGATGACCTTGTAATGACCGTTTTGGTGTATTAGTCTTTTGTACACATATTGGATTATTATTCCTGTGTGCTAAATTCTTACAAATCCAACACTGGATCATACGACATCAATATATTCAATGATCTTGATGGATATTACCAAAGAGTTTTCCAGGAATTCTGTATCTAACTGTACTTAACATCTTCAATGTATAAGAAAGATGACTCATTACACAATTTTCAATGTTATGTCAGATTATTAAAAATAATTTGATATTTTGATATAGCATGCACTCTAATTACCATTTTAACATGTATTCCTTCTATTGTTAGTAAGATTGAACTAGTTTTATGTTTTTATTAATAATTTACATTTTCTCCCTTGTCAATTGTTTGTTCATGTTTTACTAAATTTTACATATTTTCTTATTGAGTTATTTAATTTTTTGCCTGTTTAGGTTTTCATATTTCTCTGGCATATTGATTATAATTAATTTTCAATTTTCTATCATTAAAATGATTATAAATGTTTAAGCATAAAAATTTAGAGTTCTGCTTAGTCAGCTCTAGACTATCCATTTCCTTTGTCTTCTTCAAGTAAGAGCATTTCTGAGTAAAAATTTTTTTCTACATAATTTGACATCTGAAATATTTTCTTGTTTGACAGGCACGTCAGACCATGTCTCTGCTTCAGCAGCTATGGCCAGAAGGATCAGACATCCGAAGTGTTCTCTGTGTTACCGCATGTTCATTATCCTTGAAGATGTACCATAGCTTCTTAGGAAGAAAAATGAATGCCACCTCTGGGTCGGAAGCTGTCACACACCAGGTGCGACTGGTGTAGCTTTGTTGGGTGGCGTCTGGGCTCTAACTGTTGAAATACTCTGGGCTTCTGGCTACCCTTTTCTTCATGGGGAATTTAGCCCCACTCGTTAATGTATGTGTATTAAACACTAAAAAAAAGGAAAAATATATAGATAAGAAAACATTGAGTCATATAATTTCATTTTTTTTTTTTAAATGCAACATACAGAAAGTTTTGCCTGGTGTTTCACTTAGTGCTTATTCAGCCTAATCTTCTAATGAACAGAGAAAATGAAGGGAAAAAAGGAGGGGACCCGCTGTGCTCCTGTGTGTCCGTCACCTTGTGTACCTGATGCCACGTAATCTTGCAGTGGCTTCTCACTGTGGGTGTCATGACCCTCTTCTGCTCACTTAAGACTTTAAGACTGAAGCTTTGTAAACTTCCTAAAATCACATGGCAAAAGGCAGCCTGGATTTTTACTAGATGGTTGTCTTGAAAGCCTGTGATGGCTCCTTTCCATTAAACTGCTTTTTAGGCCGGGCTTGGTGGCTCAGCCTGCAATCCCAGCACTTTGGGAGGCCGAGGTGAGTGGATTGCCTGAGTCCGCTGATTTCGGACCCACCTGGGCAACTTGGCGAGACCTCGTCTCCACTATGAATCAAAAACTAGCAGGGCGTGGTAGCGCGCGCCTGTAGTTCTAGCTACTTGGAAGGCTGAGGTGGAAGGATCGCCGGAGCCCAGCAGGTCCAGGCTGCTGTGGCCGGGAGCGGGCCCTGCACTCCAGTCTGGGTGACGGAGTGAGACTCCAACTCAAAAAAAAACAAAGCTGCTTTTTAAATGAACGCTTCTATTATTGCTTATTAGCATCACCCAGACTGGAGAGATCCTAAATTTTTAAATATTGTGTTTGGCTCATGGGGACCTTTAAGAATATGCTGAGGAGCGTGGATTTTCCTCCCTAGTACACGTATCCCTACTTGTACATGCCTACGATGTTTGTATGCAGTCTGGTTGTTGGTGTGTTCCAGGCTGAAAAACTGTCCTTAAAGCAAACAAACAACAATGACTGAAGGGAAGGAAGGAAGGAAATAGGAAGAAAGAGAAAGAAAGAAAGAGAAAGAGGGAGGGAAAGAGGGAGATGAGGAGGGAGGGAAGGAAGAGGAAAGAGAAATGTGACTACACAGAGTTCAAAGAATTATATTCTATGGCAAGGCATTGTCAATTTTTAAAATCTATCATGCTTTCACAAAGTATTTGCTTTGTGGCATATGGTATGCCCAAAATAAATATGTTTGAGGAGAGAGAAGAAATAGACATCATTCTGATCAAATGGATCACGCAAACCATGGAAGGCAATCTCAATGTCTCTTTGAAACGACTAGAGGAACTCAAACCTGGGTGTCCAGCTGCCTGCTCAGCATTTCCATTTGGATGTGTAGTGGACATCTCAAATTTAAGGTGTCTGGAACTAAACTCCTCAAAGCCACTCCTTCCTTCCTCACTCTCTCCCATTCCAGTAAATGGCAACTTCAGCCTTCTAGTTGCTCAAGCAAAAGAAGAAGAATAATTAAAAAAAAAAAACAAACACTGTTAGGGAGCACCATGGAGAGTGGGCAACAGCTGTGGGCTTCTTCCTTCTTGCTTCTTTCCTTAATTTAAATTTACCCTCTTTGATTTTATCTTGACTGAGAATACGTATTTATTCACTCAATCAACTAATAATTATTGAATGTCTAATGTGTGCTAACTAGCTGCTTTCAACCTACAAAACTGTGACATGATGAAGATGCTCTACTAATGGGTAATAGTTAGAGCTTACGATGTGTTGGTCGTGTTCTACATGTTTCATGTGTATGATCTCATTTAGTTTTTCCAGAAGCCCCATAGGAAAATATATTGTTACTGCCTTGATTTTTATACATAGGAGAACTGATTGGTACAGTGTTTTGACTGCAGTCACACGGTTTTCAGACCTTGAGTTATTGTGCAAAAGTCTTTTTAATCTAGAAGACATAGCACTACAATGAATTTTGTTGTTTGTTTTGAGTTGGAGTCTTGCCTTGTCACCCAGGCTGGAGTACAGTGGCACTTTCATAGCCACGCCAGCGTTGACCTGCTGGACTCTGGCGATCCTTCCACCTCAGCCTTCCAAGTAGCTGGAACTATAGGTGCGCGCTACCATGCCCGGCTAATTTTTGATTTATTGTAGAGATGAGGTTTTGCCAAGTTGCCCGGGCTGGTCTCGAACCTGCGGTCTCAGGCAATCCATTCGCCTTGGACTCCCAAAGCCCTGGGATTACGGGCTGAGCCACCGAGCCCAGCCACAATACATTTTTTTTTTTAATCCTGGATTTCTCATGCTGAGCATGCCCTAGGTTTGTGGATATTATTCTAATTCTCTGAAATTTTTTGTGGGGCTCTGTTCATGCCCAGACCTCTGGGTCAAGGACTTGGTGTTATTGGTGTTAAAATTCTGCTTCACTGAAAAGCCTAAAACATGCAGGATGTGAACTGCTAAAGCTGGACGTGCCTTCCTCTTACCCCCTTCTGGATAAAGGCGGTTGAGTTTGTGTGTGCAGAGTGGGACTTTCCCTGAAATGTAGATTGAAGACGGAGGCGATGTGTGTCTGTGGCCCCGCCCGTGTGTGTGTGTGCAGCTCCTCACCTGCCGCTGTCCACCACCTCTGACTCACATCCCTTATTGTATGCAGGTGCCTGGTCACCGCCTGGCCCTGGAGGAGGTGGAAGATTTCTGTCGACTGCGTTGTCTCTGTGTGGCTTTTCAGCTCCACTTAGGTCTGCCTCGGAGAGCTCGTTCTCGAGTCATCACGGCCTCTTGGACTAGGGACATCGATCTTTTCTTAAAAATGGTAAACATACTTTACCTACTTTTTGTTTCGACGTGAGAGATAAAAACCATGATCGCCTTTAAAAATAGATTTATATTGGAATGATGCCATGTCTGATTAGCTGGTACATCAATAAGATCCTATTTTCTCTTCTTTTCTTTTCTTTTTTTTTTTTTTTCTGAGTTGGAATCTCACTCTGTCGCCCAGACTGGAGCGCAGTGGCCGCTCCCGGCCACCGCAGCCGCGACCTGCTGGGCTCCGGCGATCCTTCCGCCTCAGCCTTCCAAGTAGCCGGAATTACAGGCATGTGCTACAACGCCCGGCTGATTTTTTGATTTATTATAGAGATGAGGTCTCGCTGCCCAGGCGGGTCTCGAACCCGCGGGCTAGCGCAATCCGCTCACCTCAGCCTCCCAAAGGCGCGGGATTACAGGCTGAGCCACAGAGCCTGATTAAGGTCCTATTTTCAACAGCCTCTATGTTTTGTTGGTGTAATAAAGAACACTACAGGTAATATCTGTTTAATAGAATCATAATGACCTTTCTCTCCTTCCTTTCTTTCTCTGAAGAGACCATGCATTTGTATAATCCACCACAGAAAATTGGTTGACGTTGGATTCTGTTTGTAGAAAAACTCAGGAGACCGATTTTTGAATTTATTTTTTCTGTTTATTATAAAAGTATATTAAAGAAAAATTAAAGATGGAAGAAGGATAGATAATACGCATTCCTAGCCCACTGCTTAAATTAATGCTGTTAACTGCTAATATTTTGGTTTAACTTCTTCCATTCTTTTATTTTAGGACATAGGTCATATATTGTGGTTATTTCGTATGTGGTTACAATCATGCTGTACATACTGCATATGATTTTATTTTAAAGGTGTTTCCACTTCTTGGTTAGAATAATTTTCAAGGCAAGCAACTACTGTGAGTGACTGCATTGCAGTTTACTTCAACACTCCCTTGTTATGAGACCTTAGGATCATTTTCAGGTTCTGTAATCCAAATGCCACTGGCCTTAAATACTTTGAATATATTTCCTGAAATGGGAAAATAGATTATAGACCACAAGGGCACGGACAGCTTAAGGATCTTCATAGATACTGTCATCAAAGGCTTTTTAAAACTGACCTATCGGGCAGGCAGCTCATATGTGTTTATTCAGTGTATATTTACCATGATTAACCATGAGGAGGGAGTGAAGAAAAATGCAAATACATCACTCTACTCTTCTTCCTCCTGGAAGTTCCAGTCTGAATACTTGTAGGAACCAATGTCATGTCAGAAAGGTGCTAGTGGATATGAAGAGGTACTCAAGGATGCTTTGGGAACTGATTATTATTATTATTATAAAGATGTGGGATACAATTCAGGGTTACGTATACAAGCACTGGTCATGCAGGTACCCTTGTTGATGAGGTATGCCCCTCCCTCCCTAGCAGTTTCCCTCAACTGCCAATCCCATCCCCCTCCCCTGACAGTTTCCCACTAAATGGATCAAAGTAAATGTAAAACCTCAAACTATAAAAATCTTAGAAAACACAGGAGACACCCTTATGGAAATTAGAACTGGCAACCAGTTCCTATTCGGAACCCTAAATGCCCGTACCTTAAGAAATAAGATAGACAAATGGGACCTCATCAAATTAACGAGTTTCTGCAAAGCAAAAGAAACCATCAAGAGAACAGGGAGACAGCCCATAGAATGGGAAAAAATATTTGCCAACTGTATATCTGACAAAGACCTAACATCTAGGATCTACAAGGAACTCAAATGTGCCGAAAGGAAAAAAAAAAAACAAACAGCCCCACTAAAAGGTGGGAAACTGATGATCAAAAGCCACCACCCTGCTGGACACAGTGGCTCATACCTATAATCCCAGCATTTTGGGAGGCTAAGGTTGGAGGATGGCCTGAGGGTTTGAGACCAGCCTGGCCAACTTGGCGAGACCTCATCTCTACAATCAATCAATCAATCAACCAACCAACCAATCAATCAATAAAAGCCACGATCCAACTTGGAGGGGCTGGCTTCTCTGAAGAAGCCTAGAGAAGTGGAAAGACTCAGGACCTGGAGGGCAAGTGCTAGCTCCTGAGATACTGAGGGACAAAAGGCTTTCCAGAGAGGACAGAGCACTTGTGAATGCCCCAAGGAGCTGAGGCATGCCCAGCATCACCAGAGATGAGAAAGGATGGTGAAGCTGAAGAGGCGGGTGGAGGAAAATCCATACAGTGCTCTTAGGATTTAGGAACTCGTAACCGTGATGAGAAATTATTGAAGGGTTTCAAGCAGTAGCTCACGTTTTTGTTTAAAAGCACATCCAGTCAATTTCATGTAGACATCAAGGGCAGAGGCGAAGAAACCACCTAGGTGATTACATGGCAAACCTGCTACCATGGGTAAAGTTGGTGGCAATAGGATTAAATAGAGGTGGAGGGTGCAAGCGTTATTTAGGCTTTGGAATGGACAAGGTTGAGTTATTGGATATGAGACAGAGGGGAGAGGAGAGCGTCAAAGATGACTTCCAGACTTCTGGTTTGATTACTGTGTGGATGCTGCCACTGGAGGAAGAACTTTTTGGGGAGAAAAATAATGAGTTTGGGAAATAGTGAGTTTGAATGGTGGCAAGGATACTTCTCAAAGGAAATACCTAACAGGCAGTTTGAAGTGCTCTTTGGGCTGGAAATAAAGGCTTGGGACTTGTGAGCTTGTGGGGGAGACTGGATACAGTCATGTGTTTTTTTGTTTTTTGTTTTTTTCTCCCTGGGAAAGACTACAGTAAAATTAGAAGTGGTTTTGGTTCAGAGACCTGAGGTGTCCCAGAATTTAATGGTCAGTTGGAAGTGTGAGAATTAGAAAAAGGCACTGAAAAGGAGCTGCTAAGATAAATGGTAGAAAAACTAGAATAATATGTTATCTTGGAGGTCTGATGAGCCAGATATTTCAAAAAGGAGGGAGTGATTTAAAGTGTCAAATTCTGTAGCTAATATGTGGATGTGGATAGGAAATTCAATACTTTAATGGCATGAAAATCAAGGCTGATTATTATTATGATTGCTGTTATTAAGAGTTTTTTTGGTAGACGAGGGTTGGAAAATCTATATCTTAATATTCAGCAGTCAGCGGAAGGTTATAAAATATTAATAAAGGTAGTGGAGGCAATTCTCTCCTGGAGTTGATGTTAATTTATCTATAATCTTTGTGGTTTTAATGGCTTTATCATTCTACCCAGAAACATCCCCAACAACATACCTTATGGAGGGCTTACAAGAATATGAAATCATTCTATGATTCTTTACTAATAATGTTTTCTTTTTCTTTTCAGAACAAGTGGTGTGAATATTTCATTTTAAGAAACTTAAATGCTTTTGGAAGCTGGAATCTAAATTTAAATCATATTTCTGACTTATATGATGAGCATTTATTAAAGAATATTGCATTTTACTATGAATCTGAAAGTAATCAAGGTAGTTCTTTAATATGTATTAACATTATATCATTAAATCAGAGTAAACAAATTATATAAAACTCTTGAATTTTCTGGTACATACTATAGTAACATTTTTGTTTCTTGAAAACCTTTGTTTGTATATATACATACTTATTACATATTTTGTCTTTTTTTATGGAACGGTATCCAAAAATGAGTTTGATATTGTGACACAATATTAATAACAATATTTTTCATTTAAATTGATGCATGAATTTTGATGCTTACCATAATTAACACAATCCTTTCGTTATTTTTGAACATTTAAGATTGCTTTACATTTTGTCTAAAAATAAATAAAACCGCATTAAACATTTTGGTACATACAAATTTTGTCTTCCTTTGAATATCTTCTTAGAGTAAATTATCTAGAGTAGCTTAAATAGTTGAAGAATAATGAGGCATTCTTAACCATATTTTTTTCTGAATGAACATCATTGAAGTTTTTTAAACCTCTGGGATTTAATCCCCTTAGGTGAAAAACATTGGAATAAAATCGACTGTATAAAATGTAGCAATTTTTACTAGTTTTAAAAAATTCTCATCCTCTACCTAGTCTATAAATTCTTCAAAAACTTACTTCTTACTTAATTAGATTTAAAAGTTGCAAGCTTATATATGACATGTTTTTCTTCATTACTTTTGAGACTATTTATATATTCATCATTAGCATTCTTTAGTAAGGAACAGGATTAAAACTCTGTGACATTCTTTTATTAACTTTTTTAAAAGATAGGGCCTTGTAATTTTGCCTATGCCAGACTTGAACTCCTGGGGTCAAGTGTTCAGGCATGGACCACTGTGCCTGGCTCTATATTAAATATAAAGAGAAAATGCTTTTTAAAGACTGTTATCATAGTGTGCTTACTAATTTTCATGCAAGTGTACTGTGTAACTCACTCTAAGTTTCAGGATTTGGTAATCTTTCCAGAACTCTGTGAGTTTTGTCCAAGAAGATGACTAAATGTGTGTGTGTGTGTGTGTTTGTGTGTGTGTGTTTGTGTGTGTGCGTGTGTGCGTGCGTGTGTGTGTGTGTATGTGACTTTAAGACTTTAATATTTGTAATTGTTATGCAGAGCCACACTTGAATCTGGGAGATTGCATTACAAAGGATTATGAACACCTGTGGAGTTTTGTGTCACAACTGGTTAAAGAATTTGATGTTGGGAAATCGTTTCCTCTGAGAAGAACAACAAGCTATTTTCTTAGAAAGAGGCAATCGACAAACCAAGGTAATAAATAACAAAATAAATGGAAACAAAAACATGTTTATTCTGAAAAACTTTTAGAAATCCTACTAAAATTCGATTCTTCCAAGTATAAGTAATTTTATTCCACTGTGCTTTCTTATTTACTTCTTGACTGAGGCATAATACTACAACAATGTGCTAAAGTAAAACCATCTGCAGAGTCAAGACTTTACTGCAGCACACAATTTTACACAGATCTATGTATCCATGTGACAGCCACCCAGATCAAGAAATAGAGCATTTGGGGCCCTCAAAAGAGTTTCCTCGTGCCACTTCCCTGTCCCTCCACCCCTACCTCCTTCTGACACTGTTCTGACTTCAATACTCTTTCTTAGTTTTGTCTGTTTTGAACTTAATTTGAGTGAAATCATATAGTATATGTTCTTTTTCTTTTGTGTTTTTTTCCCTCTCAACATAATGTGTGAGAGATTCATACCTGTTGTGGTTACCATTTTGTAAAAACGTTATGGTTGCTGTGACCTATCTCCTTGTACGAACCCTACCACACTCATTTGGAGCATTTTCTGGTTATTGGCTATTATGAGTAAAACTGTTATGAATATTCTTACATACAACTTTAGGCAGGTACATGCATCTATTCATTTTGGGTATATATTTAATGCAGAGGAATGTAACTTTACAAACTACTGCTATTGTCCAAACATTTCTTTTTTTGTAAATTTTTTATTATAAAGATGTGTGGTACATTTCAGGGTTAGGAATACAAACATTGATCATGCAGGTACCCTTGTTGATGAGGTATGCCCCTCCCTCCCCTAGCAGTTTCCCTCAGCTGCCAATCTCACCCCCCTCCCCTGACAGTTTCCCACTGCTGCCAATCCCTTTCTTATAGCATTATAATTGTTCAAGGTCTGTTTATGAGTGAGAACATATGAAACTCTGTTCTTCGTTTCTGTGATAAATCACTGAGCATGACTGACTCCAAATCCATCCAAGTTGCTGCGAAGTCTATATATTTGTCCTTCTTTATAGCTGCATAATATTCCATCATGTATATGTACCACATTTTTTTTTATCCAGTTCAGCTTTGATGGACAACACAGTTGGTTCTATGTTTTTGCTGTTGTGAATAGAGCTGCAACAAACATACGTGTGCAGGTATTTTTGTGGTAGAATGATTTGAATTCCTCCAGGTATATTCCCAGTAGGAGAATTGCTGGGTCATACGGAAGGTAAATTTCTAGTTCTTTCAGGAATCGCCACACTGTCTTCCAAAGAGGCTGCACCAGTTTGCATTCCCACCAGCAGTGTAGAAGCATTCCTTTTTCTCCACATACTCACCAAGATCTGTTGTTGTTTGCTTTATTAATGATGGCCATTCTTACAGGGCTTAGGTGATATCACAGTGTGGTTTTGATTTGCATTTCTCTGATGATGAGTGAGGCTGAGCACTTTTTCATGTGTCTGTTGGTTGCCTGTGTATCTTCTTTTGAGAAGTGTCTGTTTATGTCTTTTGCCCACTCTTTAAAGGGGCTGTTTGTTTTTTTCCTTTTGGCACGTTGGAGTTCCTTGTAGATCCTAGATGTTAGGCCTTTGTCAGATACACAGTTGGTAAATATATTTTCCCATTCTGTGGGCTGTCTCCCTGCTCTCTTGATGGTTTCTTTAGTTTTGCAGAAGCTCGTTAATTTGATGAAATCCCACTTGTCTGTTTCATTTCTGAAGGTTTTGACCTTTAGGGTTCTGAATAGGAATTGGTTTCCAGTTCCAATTTCATAAGGGTGTCTCCTGCATTTTCTAAGATTCTTATAGTTTGAGGTTTTACATTCAGATCTTTGATCCATTTAGAGTTACTTTTTGTGTATGGTGATAGGCAGGGGTCCTGTTTCAATCTTCTGCATGTGGTCAGTCAGTTTTCCCACCACCATTTACTGAATAGGTTCTCCTCTCCCCAGTGGTTGTTGTTGGAGGCTTTGTCAAAGATGTGTTAGTTGAGGAATTGAGGCTTTGCTTCCGGAATCTCCATCCTGTTCCATTAGTCTATGTGCCTGTTCTTGTACCAATACCAGGCTGTTTTGATTACTGTAGCCTTATAGTAAAGTTTGAAGTCTGGAAGTGTGACACCTCCTCCTTTGTTTCTTTTGCTAAGGATTATTTTAGCTATTCGTGGTCATTTATGTTTCCATATGAATTTCTGTATTGTCATATCCAGGTCTGAGAAGAATGATGTTGGTAGCTTAATGGGTATTGCATTGAATCTGTAGGTTGCCTTTGGTAAGATGGATATCTTAACAATGCTGATCTTCCTATCCGTGAGCATGGAATATTTTCCCATTTGTTTGTGTCTTTCTGGATTTCTTTGAGCAGTGTTTTTTAGTTCTCATTGTAAAGGTCTTTTACTTCTCTGGTTAGGAAGATGCCAAGGTATTTCATTTTTGGGGTGGCTATTGTAAATGGGATTGTGCTTTTTATTTGGGTCTCTGCCTGCTTGTTGTTGGTGTAAAGGAATGCAACTGTCTTTTGCACATTTATTTTGTACCCTGAGACTTCCCCAAAGTCCTTTATCAGTGCAAGCAGGCTTTTGACAGATTCACTTGGATTTTCAAGGTATAGGATCATATCATCAGCAAAGAGGGATAACTTGACTTCCTCTTTTCCTATTTGGATACCCCTGATTTCCTTCTCTTGTCTCATTGCCTGAGCTAGGACTTCCAACACAATATTGAACAAGAGAGGTGAGAGTGGGCAGTCTTGTCTTGTTCCAGTTTTCAGGGGAAATGATTCTAGTTTCTGACCATTTAACAATATGTTAGCTGTGAGTTTGTCATAGATGACACTTACTATTTTGAGATATGTTCCTTCTATACCTAGGTGTTTGAGGGTTTTTATCAAGAAGGGATACTGGATTTTATCAAAAGCTTTTTCTGCATCTAATGAGATAATCATGTGGTTCTTGCCTTTACATCTTTTGATGTATTTAATGACATTTATGGTCTTGCAAAGGTTGAACCAGCCCTGTATCCTGGGAATGAAGCCTACTTGGTCATGGTGGATGATTTTTGAGATATATTTTTGGATCCGATTTGCTAGAATCTTGCTGCAGATTTTTGCATCTATGTTCATAAGGTATATCGGCCTGTAGTTCTCTTTCTTTGTTGGATCTTTACCCAGTTTGGGTATCAGTGTGATGTTAGCTTTGTAAAATGATTTGGGGAGAATTCCATCTTTTTCAATTGCCTGAAATACTTTCAGTAGGATTGGTGTCAGCTCCTCCTTGTACATTTTGTAGAATTCTGCTGGAAAGCCATCCTATCCAGGGCTTTTTTTTTTTTTTTTTTTTTTTTTTTTTTTTGTAGATCGTTTTTGTATGACAGAGTCAATTTCCTGGATTGTTATTGGTCTATTTAGTGTCTCCATGTCTTCTTGTTTTAATCTGGGGAGGTTGTGTGATATCAGAAAGTCCTCCATTTCATCTAGGTTATCAAGTTTGTTTCCATGTAGGTGTACATAGTATTCTCTGATAATCTTTTGTATTTCTTCAGGGTCATTTGTGATTTGATCTTTTGTGTTTCTGATTGTGTTTATTTGGGTTTATCTCTTTGTCTTGGTCATTCTGGCTAGGGGCCCATCAATCTTGTTAATTCTTTCAAAGAACCAGTTTTTTGTTTTGTTGATGTTTTCTATGATATTTTTGTCATCTATGTCCCATATTTGGGCTCTTATTTGGTGATTTGGATTCTTCTGCTCAGGTTGGGATTTTGGTGGTCTCCTCTTTCCAGCTCCCTTAGGTGATTTGTTAGCCTCTCCACTTATGATCTTTCCATTTTCTTGATGTGTGCTCGTAGAGACATAAAGTCCCCTCTTAGAACTGTATTCATGGCTTCCCAGTGGTTTTGGTAAGATGTTTCTTCATTTTCATTTGTTTCCAGGAATCTTTTAATTTCTGCTTTGATTTCAGTGTTGACCCAGTAGTTGTTCAGCATCCTGCTATTTAGTATCCATCTCTCTGTGGGCTTTGGGGAAATGTTGTTGGTTTTGATATTTATTTTTATTCCACTGTGGTCTGAGAATGTGCATGGCAAGATTTCAACCTTATGGAATTTGTTTATGCTTGATTTATGGCCAAGAATGTGATTGATCTTGGAGTATGCTCCATGTGGTGATGAGTAGAATGTATATTCTGTGATTGTTGGGTGGAAAAATCTGTAGGTATCCACTAAGTCCATTTGGTCAAGTGTCATGTTTAGGTTCTGGATCTCCTTGTTGATTTTTTGCCTCGATGATCTTTCTAGGCCTGTCAGTGGGGTATTTAAGTCCGCTGCCTTCATAGTGTTAGAGTCAATATCTTTTTTTAGTTTATTTAGTAGTTGTTTTATAAATGCTGGTGCTTCTGTGTTAGGTGCATATATGTTTAGGATGGATATTTCTTGTTGATGGATTGAACCTTTTATCATTATATAGTGTCCTTTTGCATCTTTTTAAATTTTTGATAGCTTAAAGGTTGTGTCCAAACATTTTCTAAGGTGCTTGTTCCAGGTTAAACTCCCACCATCAATGTGGTCATTTCAGAATGGTTTCCAGCCTTGTGAATATTTGTTACTGTCAACCTTTTTATTTTGGCTATTATGATGGGTTTTGGGGTTAGCGCATTGTGGTTTTAATTCATATTTCCTTAGAAGGTTATTAGATGGAAGCACTCTTCATATACTATTGACCATTTGGATATGTTCTTTTGTGATGTACTTGTGTGTGCAAGTCTTTTGCCCATTTATGAAATATAGGTCATTAGTATTTCACAAGTCTGTGTCATCTTGAATTTATTTTTTGTGTATGGTATGAGGGGGCTTATTTCTGAACTCTCTATTCTATTTTATTAGTCTGTTCTTTGAGTCATATTTTTTCTTGAACCAATATTAAAACATTCTCAATTATGGAAGCCCTGTAAGAGACGTTGATTTTGATAGGATATGTTGTCCAACTTGTGTCCTTTTGAAGATTATTTATTCTGGATCCTTTGCATT